CCCAAACACTGCCCCAGAAATGGCTCCGACGGGACAGGTGAGTGAGCTAAAATCGCCTGAATTTACCCCAAAACACACCCAAAATATCCTAAATACAGCCCAAAACGCAGCCCAAAATCACCCCAAAATACGGCCCAAAGTCACCTGAATTCATCCCAAAATACAGCCCAAAATCACCCCAAAATCACCCCAAAATTGCCCCAAAATCACCCGAATTCACCCCAAAATGCGCGAGCTGAGCCCGCCCCAGAATCGGCTCTCCGCTGAGAGACCCAAAATCCCCCAAATCCGCCCCAAAAATTCTCCAAAAACCCCAAATCCACCCCAAAAATTCTGAAAAAAACCCAAATCCACCCCAAAAATTCTCCAAAATCCCCAAATCCACCCCAAAAATTCTCCAAAATCCCCAAATCCACCCCAAAAATTCTGAAAAAAAACCAAATCCACCCCAAAAATTCTCCAAAATCCCCAAATCCACCCCAAAAATTCTCCAAAATCCCCCAAATCCACCCCAAAAATTCTCCAAAATCCCCAAAAATTCTCCAAAAACCCCAAATCCGCCCCAAAAATTCTCCAAAATCTCCCAAATCCGCCCCAAAAATTCTCCAAAATCCCCAAAAATTCTCCAAAATCCCCCAAATCCACCCCAAAAATTCTCCAAAATCCCCCAAATCCGCCCCAAAAATTCTGAAAAAACCCCAAATCCGCCCCAAAAATTCTCCAAAATCCCCCAAATCTGCCCCAAAAATTCTCCAAAAACCCCAAATCCGCCCCAAAAATTCTCCAAAATCCCCAAAAATTCTCCAAAATCCCCAAAAATTCTCCAAAATCCCCAAATCCGCCCCAAAATCCGCCTGGTTTTTTCACAGTGGTGACCACGGAGTGACCGGCCCAGAGCGCCGGTGACCTTTGACCCCTGAGTGACCTTTGAGTGACCCCTGACCCTGAGTGACCCCTGAGTGACCCCTGAGTGACCCCTGACCCTCAGTGACCCCTGAGTGACCCCTGACTGACCCCTCAGTGACCCCTGAGTGACCCCTGAGTGACCCCTGAGTGACCCCTGACCCTGAGTGACCCCTGAGTGACCCCTGAGTGACCCCTGGGTGACCCATGAGTGACCCCTGACCTCTCTCCGGCCGCAGGGATGACCACGCCGCTGACCCCTGACCCTGAGTGACCCCTGAGTGACCCCTGGGTGACCCCTGAGTGACCCCTGGGTGACCCCTGACCTCTCTCCGGCCGCAGGGATGACCACGCCGCTGACCCCTGACCCCCAGTGACCCCTGGGTGACCCCTGAGTGACCCCTGACCTCTCTCCGGCCGCAGGGATGACCACGCCGCTGACCCCTACCACGCCGGCTACGAGCTGCCCTACAGCGGGGGGGGAGGGGCCGGCCCCACCTACGGCCCCCCCCAGGCGCCCTGGGGACCCCACGAGGTGCAGCACCCGCTGCTGCAGCACCAGCTGCTGCCCATCCAGGCCAGGTGAGCCAAAATCCCCCAAATTCACCCCAAAAAACGGCCCAAAACCCCCCCAAAAACCCCGATTCCAAACGGCCCCAAAATCGCCCAAAACGGACCCAAAATCACCCCAAAAATGGCCCCAAACCCCTGTGGGTGCAGCACCAGCTGCTGCCCATCCAGGCCAGGTGAGCCAAAATCCCCAAAATTCACCCCAAAAAACGGCCCAAAACCACCCCAAAAACCCCCGGAAATTCTGATCCCGAACGGTCCCAAAATCGCCCAAAATGGACCCAAAAACGGCCCCAAAATGGCCCCAAACCCCTGTGGGTGCAGCACCAGCTGCTGCCCATCCAGGCCAGGTGAGCCAAAATCCCCCAAATTCACCCCAAAAAACGGCCCAAAACCACCCCAAAAACCCCCGGAAATTCTGATTCCAAACGGACCCAAAATCACCCAAAATGGACCCAAAATCACCCCAAAAATGGCCCGAAAACCACCCAAAAAGCCCTGGAAATCCTGATCCCAAACTGCCCCAAAATCCCCAAAATTCACCCCAAAAAACAGCCCAAAACCCCCCCAAAAAGCCCCAGAAATCCTGAATCCAGACTGCCCCAAAATCGCCCAAAATCACCCCAAAAAACGGCCCCAAAATCCCCAAAATTCACCCCAAAAAACGGTTCCAAAACCCCCCCGAAAACCCCTGGAAATGCTGATTCCGAACGGTCCCAAAATCACCCAAAACGGACCCAAAATCAGCCCCAAAATGGCCCCAAACCCCCCCAAAAAAACCCTGGAAATCCTGAATCCAAAATCGCCCAAATTCACCCCGAAAATGGCCCCAAAATCCACTGAATTCACCCCAAAAAACGGCCCCAAACCACCCCGAAAACCCCCGGAAATTCTGATCCCGAACGGCCCCAAAATCACCCAAAACGGACCCAAAATCACCCCAAAAACGGACCCAAAATGGCCCCAAAGCCCTGTGGGTGCAGCACCCGCTGCTGCTGCCCATCCAGGCCAGGTGAGCCAAAATCCCAAAAATTCACCCCAAAAAACGGCCCAAAACCCCCCCGAAAACCCCCGGAAATTCTGATCCCGATCGGTCCCAAAATCGCCCAAAATGGACCCAAAATCAGCCCCAAAATGGCCCCAAACCCCCCCAAAAAACCCCTGGAAATGCTGAATCCAAAATCGCCCAAAATCACCCCAAAAATGGCCCCAAAATCCCCAAAATTCACCCCAAAAAATGGCCCAAAACCACCCTGAAAACCCCCGGAAATTCTGATCCCAAACGGTCCCAAAATGGCCCAAAATCCCAAAAATTCACCCCAAAAACAGCCCCAAAATCCCCAGTATTGATCTCAAACCTCGATATTGATCCGATATCGATCCCCAATCTCCGATATTGATCCGATATTGATCCAATATTGATCTGATATTGATCCCAAATTCCCCAATATTGATCCCAAACCCCCCGATATTGACCCCAAAACCCCCAATATTGATCCGGTATCGATCCCAAATCTCAATATTGATCCAATATCGATCCCAAATCTCGATATTAATCTGATATCGATCCCAAATCCCCCAATATCGATCCCAAATTTCCAATATTGACTCGATATTGATCCAATATCGATCCCAAATCCCCCAATATCGATCCCAAATTTCCAATATTGACTCGATATTAATCTGATATTGATCCCAAATCCCCCAATATTGATCCCAAATCCTCCGATGTTAATCCCAAACCCCTCATTATTGATCCCAAACCTCGATATTGATCCGATATCGATCCCAAATCCCTGATATCGATCCCAAATCTCCGATATTGATCCG